GAGCCACCGCGCCCAGTCCCTGGACCTAGATATTTTCTCTGACCCTTTCCAAAGCCTGATTTGCATCGATTAGTGATATGGGTGTGATAGGTTTTTCTAAAGTATTTTTAGAAGTTACCTTTTTACTTTAGTATAAAAGTGCCTTGAATATGCTGAATGTTAAATACATGTTTGTTGAATTTCTTTGAAACTTTAATATTAATGAGAACCATTAACTTTTTTTTTTTTTTTTTTTTGAGATGCAGTCTCGCCTTGTCGCCTAGGGCGGAGTGCGGTGGTGTGATCTCAGCTCACTGCAACCTCCGCCTTCCAGGTTCAAGCAATTCTCCTTCCTCAGCCTCCCGAGTAGCTGGTATTACAGGCGTGAGCCACCACGCCTGGCTAACTTTTGTATTTTTAGTAGAGACGGGGTTTCACCATGTTGGCCAGGCTGGTCTCGAACTCCTGACCTTGTGATCCACCTTCCTTGGCCTCCCAAAGTGCTGGGTTTACAGATGTGAGCCACTGCACCTAGCCAACATTTTTTTCATTAAAAAAGTTATATAAAATTTATTTTATTGTGGTATCTCGTTCAGGAAATTTTGTCCTCTGTAGATTCATGTAACCCCCGCCATCATCAGGATGGAGAAGTTTCATCACCCCAAAACCTCCCTTGTGTTGATCCTTTTTATCACATATTCCCTGGCCTCGTACCCTGGCAACCACTGATCTGTTCTCCATCAGGATAGGGTATTCTTTTTGAGAATGTCATGTAAGTGGAACTGTATTTTAAGTAATGTTTTGAAACCATCTTCATTTACTTCTAGTTATATGTTTGAGATTTCTCTCCTGTTCTGTGTATTAACAGTTCTTTTTATTGCTGAATAGTATTTCATCATTTGGATGTACCACGTTGTGTTTATCCATTGTGCTATTGTAGGACCTTGTGGTTGTCGCCATTTTTCTTTCGCGATTGTATTCCTGCTATGAGCATTTCTGTACAGATGTCGTGTGAATGTAGTTTCCATTTCCCTAGGATAAAGACCTAGTAGTGGGAAAGTTGGGTCGTGTGCTGAACTGTTTTCCAAAGTGGCTGTTTTAGTTTGCATTCTCACTGGCAATCTGTCATGTTTCTGTTGCTCTGTGTCTTAGTTAGCTGTTGGTGTTATCGGTGATTTTTAGTTGAGCCATTCTAACAAGTCTAGTGGGACCTCATTGTGGTTTAAATTTGCATTTCCGTAATGGCTAACGATGCTGAGTATCATGTTCTTCTTTGCCACTCTTGTATCCTCTGTGAAGTTTCTGTTCAGATCTTTTGCACGAAAAAGCTGTATCATGGAACCAGTGAAATAACCAAGGAGAGGTTGATTAAAGTTCTGTTTATAACCCCAGAAGATTCCTGCCCTAGGGATATGGGATGGCTGAACATAGGACGCCGACACTGGACAGATGAAATAGCAGTTTATTAGTCACGCGTGCTCACAGCCCTGGAGGTGGGGGACACCGCATGCCACACGGGGGCTGCACTTGGGAACAGAGTGAGCCACCAGGGCTGTGGGAGGCACATATTGTAGTAAGAAGAGGGTGAGATGACCTTGCTTCCGTGGGAAGATGTGATTGGCTTGTTCGAATAACTCTGGGCCGGCAGGGATGAGCAGGCTGGGGTCGGCTCTCTGTGGTAAGGAGGGTTGTTTGGCTTTGGGACCTTATCCGTGGGAGCAGAGCTCGGAGGAGACCTTGTGGTTAGGCTATTTGAGGCCTTCTTGATTTTACCGACATCAAGGCAGCACGTAATATTTAGTCTTAATTTCAGGCCACGCAATACCTTCTTCTATATCTACTTTCTGTGGCACTTTCAAAAGGTTTTTGTCCTTAGTGTTTAGCAGTTGATTACGATGTGCCTAGTCCTGGCTTCCTTTGGATTTATGGTGTGTGGGCTTTGCACAGATTCTTCCATCTGCCTAGGTTTATGTCGTTTGCTGAACTTAGGAAGTTTTCAGCCATTAATTCTTTGAATATTTTTTTCAGCATTGTACCTTTTCTCTCCTATTATTAACCGTGGGGTCTGTGCTAATTCTAGGTAGTTCGTTTCAGAATTGAATTGCACTGTGGGACACATAGCTGGGTGTCCCAGAGAACTGGAGAATTGCCTGGTGCAAAAGTCCATCCATTTGGTGTCAGAAGTGTTGCAAACAGAGGAACTGTTTCCTTAGAGATTTTTAGACACTCATTATTTGTAATCTGGATGGGATATCATGTCTTCCACTGATTTAGATACATTTTTCTAATTATGTTGTTTAGACAGTTAGTAACAGCCTTGTGTGATGGAACGTGTTTACACGTCAAGATTAAGGTTACTTCTCTCTCCTCTTGGCTGACTATGTAAGGAGTTTCATGACAGTTGTTTTGACGGAAACTTCACATTGTCAGTGGCCTAAAGTCATTGTTCTCAGCTTTTCCTTTGTGACCCAGTGCTCTTGAGTTATGCTGTCACTGATAGCACCCCTGCATAGCAGTGCTTCTCAGTTGGCAGTGGAGTAGCTCCACCTCCCGGGATCAAGGCATTCTCCTCCCTCAATCTCCCGAGTAGCTGGGACTGCAGGTACCTGCCACCACGCCCGGCTAATTTTTTTGTATTTTTAGTAGAGACGGAGTTTCACCGTGTTAGCCAAGATGGTCTCGATCTCCTGACCTCGTGATCTGCCTGCCTAGGCCTCCCGAAGTGCTTAGATTACAGGCGTGAGCCACTGCGCCCGGCCTGGTAACAATTTTTAAAAATGTAATTTAAAAAAATTAAATATTGTGGTAAAATATACATACCATAAAACTTACCGTTTTTTGCGTAGAGAAAGTTGCTTTCCCTCTCTGGTCTCAGTTTCTCAGCTGAGAAATGGGGGTGGGGGCAGGCCAAATGGTCTAAGGTTCTGCGAACCTCCAAGTCAGAGCCCATAGCTGGTGGTCAAGATGAAGGAGAGGACCTCAGGGTCAGCCGAATGCCTGAGAGGCCTGACGGGCCCAAAGGTGAGCAACCTGAGCACATCAGGTGGGCTCAGAGCTGGTGCATGAGCCCCACAGCCTGCAGAGCAGCCCTGGACTCAGGAGCCCACTCACACCAGCCTCGTGGGACTTATAGAGATGTGGGGTCCAGCCTCTCCTACTGTTGCTGGGCTGGGGGAGCTGCAGATTCTGACCCCACAACTGCCTTAGACATGCCAGACACGCCTATGAAATGAGCGTCCCCCTGCAGGACCAGCACTTGGCCCTGGCCATCCTGCTGGAGCTGGCTGTGCAGAGAGGCACGTTGAGGTGAGGGCTGCTGCAGACTGGGAACGCTTTGGGGAAGTGCGTCTGTATCCAAATACCTGTTGAACTGTGTGCATTTCACTGAATGGTTTGTGACTGCAGCAGATGTGTGGTGCTCTGTAACCAGAGAACCACGTCCCAGAGCTCGCTCTCTCTTTACCTTTTCTTCACTTCCTTTTTTATGCTCGGTTTTCTAGTCTGGGAACTGTTCTTTTTTTTTTCTTTCAGTTTTCCTCATTTAATTGTTTTTATTCCATGAATTTAAGATCCTAGAGCTTTCACGTAAACGTACTCTTTGAGCTTCTTAACTTTCCTATCAGCAGAAGGCGATGTTGTGTGCTAAAATCTCAGTGTCAATTCAGTGATTTAATTACCACGGCTTTACTTTCATTTCATCCAGATCCCAAGTATTTCTTCACTTCTATATAGCTGTTTGCTTTTATTTTTGATTAACCATGAAAAAAAAAAAAGTTAATGTGTTTTTACTAGGAATGAATATCTTTTCTCTTTTAGCCAAATGTTGTCTGCCATCCTGTTGTTGCTTCAGCTATGGGACCGCAGGGCACAGGAGAGTGACAATGAGCGTTCTCACCCAGGGCACCAGCGCCCGCTTTTGCGCTTGCTGCAAAGGTTCCAGAGCATCATTTGCAGGAAGGATACGCCCCACTCCGAGGGCGACATGCACATGAGTGTCATGATGGAACTTTGTGTTTAGGTGACACTCGATTCTAGTTATTTTTTAAGCAAGGCCAGCGTGCATGTCCACGGCAGTGTTTTTCTCTGGTGTGTGCCTATTTGGTGCAAACAACAGAGAGTCAGATGAGACAGGTGTGGGAGGTCACTTGTTTGTGGAGAAGACTTGGATCAGTGAACACTGACTTTCTTGTCAGCACAGAACCAAGCTTGAAACACACACTTTTAAATCAATACCAGAAAAGAACAACGAAAACAGTGGCCTGCTTTGTTGGCCCTTCCTGTGTACTGGGCTCTGTGCAGGGCATGTCACCTGAGCTGTCACTCTGTTGAGTACCAGCTCCCCCCTTAACAGGTGTGGATGCCGCGCTCGGGGAGGAGCAGGTTTGCGGGGCCCTGGGCCTGAACCTCCAGGACTGCTGGTCCTTACAGGTCAAGTACAGGTTGGATTTTTCCAGTCTTTTCGGGAAAGTCTTAGGCATTCCAGTGTCGTGCTTTGGTTTAATTTTTCTATTATTTGGCATTCTTGAATAATCATCGGGCTCTTCTGCCTGTAGAAGAATTAGAATTATGATTTAATTTGCAAATGAAAGTAGGTGTTCTCCAGAGCGGGCAAGGTTTAGATTAAAGTAAAGGTTTTGGTTTTGGATTTCAAGGCCAGCTTGAGATGCTGTGCTGGGTTCCCCCAGAGGTGGTTCTGTGTTTCGCCAGGGGTACTAGGCCTGTGGGGTGGTTTGGTTGTGTTGGTAATCTGTGTGGACTCAACTTACCTGTGGTATCATAAGTGTATACATGCACAGTCAATGTTGTGGACATCTATACAGCAAATTTAGACATTTGTACAGTTTATATGCTGCATAAATATATAGATGTGTAGTATAACTGTATCATCGACATGGTCACTTGATGGGCCACATGAGTACATACCAAAATATAAAGAGTGGTTTTTTATTTTATTAAGGGCTAATTGTGTTACTTTAATTTTTCCCACTATTTCTGAATGTCTGTTTACTTTTCCTTTCTAGCTTGTGTCTGGCCCCCTGAGCCCCAGCGAGAGTTTCCTGAGGTACCTCACCCTTCCACAAGACAACGAGCTTGCCATCGATCTGCGACAGACCGTGGTTGTTGTCATGGGCCATTTAGACCGTCTGGCTACGCCCTGTTTGCCTCCGCTGTGTGGCGCTCTGACGTCTCATAAGGTGTGTGCAAGAACCACGTTCTCCGTGTGTTTTGTGGCTAGTACCACTTATAGATTCTCATCCTAGGCCCATGTGGAGACTTGGTTTTCTGATATTGATGGGGGAAGCTGGCTTGTGGTTTTAAACGTGTTTGCAGTTGAAGGTGTTCCCCGTGTTGAGAGTGAGTGATGAGCAAGCTGAGGTGCACAGGCCTAGGGACCCAACCTGGGGGCCCAGGTTCCAGGTTCAGGTAGCACAACCCCAGAGAGCTCCCCTTTATCCACAGCCCCAGGCCCTCCCACCTTCTGCAGGGGGTTCCACAGCCTTCTTTATACTCTGAAGGCGGGCTGTCTTAGTATGTAATGCTGGTTATAGTAGTGACAGTATAGTTCTATATTCTATCTGTTACGTAATAGTAATGGTAATAGTAGTGATTTGCGTGTGTGGAGCACCTGTAGGGTGCCGGCCCACTGAGGACCTCATGCGTGCTGTTGTATCTTATTATGTCAGTGAGAAAACTGCCTTTGGGAATGGTGGTGAACTTTGCAAGGGTATAACAGTAATCTTAGTTTTGAATCGATTTTTCTAACATTTTATTTCTAATATGAAGAGTATTTATTTTGTTTTACAGTCATTAAAAAAAAGGCCCTGTGCGGTGGCTCACACCTGTAATCCCAGCACTTTGGGAGGCCGAGGTGGACGGATCACAAGATCAGAAGATCGAGACCATCCTGGCGAACACGGTGAAACCCCGTCTCTACTAAAAATACAAACAATTAGCCGGTGGTGGGCGCTTGTAGTCCCAGCTACTTGGGAGGCTGAGGCAGGAGAATGGTGTGAACCCAGGAGGCGGAGGTTGCAGTAAGCCGAGATCCCGCCATTGCACTCCAACCTGGGCGACAGAGCCAGACTTTGTCTCAAAAAAAAAAAAAAAAAAAAAGAATACAGTCACATGGTTCAAAAATCAAACCTAGGCAGAGACACACTGTCGCTTTCCCTGCCCACCCCTTCTACCCAGTTTCCCACCTGCTCCCTCTGACTTTTCAGTCTCCTCTGTAACCTCCTTGTTCTCTGGAATGAGTACCTAGTGGTAGCAGGTTGCGTTACTTGTGGTGTGTGTTTTTTACTAACCATATGTACTGGAGTACTTTATCAGAGTGTGGCTCTTTGTTTTTATAAAGCAACTTAGTATTCAGTGTGCGGATGTGTATCTTGGTTTAGTGAGTCTCTTATTGGTGGACACTTGGGCTTATTGCCACAATGTTGCTATACAAATAGTGCTGAGGGCCTGGTGTGGTGACTCACGCCTGTAATCCCAGCACTTTGGGAGGCTGAGGCAGGAGAATCACTTGAACCCAGGAGGCGGAGGTTGCAGTGAGCTGAGATGGCGCCACTGCACTCCAGCGTGGGCAACAAGAGTGAAACTCCTTCTCAAACAACAATAACCACAACAATAAAACAAACACAAATAGTGCTGCAGGGCCTGCCCTGGAACACGTGTGCTCCATGTGTGCACGCGTGTGTGCCCGTGCCCATGCGCAGGTGGGGATGCACCCAGTGTGGGCTGGTTGTCACCAGTTGCTCCTGCACGACTTGATTTCTCTCACCGCCAACACGGATGCTGGTCTCCCAGCCTCGCGTGTAGGCTTTTGGGATTTTGCCTCCTAAAGCACAAAATGGTGACCCTGATGTAGTTTGAGCGTTTTAAAGTATATTAGTATTTAAGGGCCGTTGATACTACTTTTTAATGGGCTCTATTAAAATGAAATGCGATGGAAATGGAAAACTAACCTGTTCAGTCGCTTCATCATACCTGTTAAATGAGGTAATACGGCGTGGTACCAGCTATTTTGATGTTTTGAATCAGCATATTTTCTCTTTATTTGCTGTTTTAGCCTATAATATCTCAGTGTTACTCCCAGCCTTTTATTTTTCTTTTGCTGTTGTAAAAGAAAACGTTTACTTTCTTATCTTACAGGGATCATTGCAAGAGGTCATAGGTTGGGGGTTAATAGGATGGAAATACTATGCCAATGTGATTGGTCTGATCAGTGCGAGAAGCTGGCAACCCGGGGGAGTCACACAGATTGCCTGTGCAGAGAAGCGCAACCTGACTCTGTCACACAATGGCTGCGTGTACACACAGGCTTATAATAGTGACACACTGCTGAGTGTTCTGGGCACTGTGCCTGCAGTGTTCCCTTGAGGGGCAGGGTCTGTACTGCAGATGCACAAGCTGTGGTCTTTCTTGAAGCCATTGGATTTCTGAAGATTGATGAGCTTCTGTTTATTGTATATTATGTGGTCTCAGCGGTAATATTGTGAAGATTTGGGTTGTGAAGGTTAGGAAGTTCTTACAGTGAAACTCATTCCTAATCATGAGATTCCCGTTTGTAAACTCATCTTTCATGTGTAAACTCATTTGACTTTGGGGCCAGGCAGGTGACAGATGAGGAAGTTGGGCCTCATGGGGATAGTGGCACATTTGGGCGTGGCATGTTTTCATTAAAGCGGGAGTGTTCCTCCTGTCGGCTGCATGTCTCTGTCGCAGGGTAGCCTGCCCTGCCCACCATCGGCTCGGTCTTGCCACAGAGCACTTGGAGGCTGCCACTTTTTCTGTTGGTGCTGGGTGGGAAGGGCTGGAGAGCCGGCCCCGTGGACCGCAGAGACTTATGCCCCACTTCCAGTTGCAGCAGACTTTGCTCAGGGATACAGGATAAAGGAGAGCTGTGCTGATTTCATTTTCCTTGGACTGATGATGACTTCTCTTCCTATTTTTCTTTTTTTAGGCCCCACAGCTGGTCCAAGGCCTTGCCTCCAGAAACATTGTAAAAATTGTTGCCCATTCTGATGGTCACCACTGCGTAGCCTTGGCTGCCACTGGAGAGGTGTACTCCTGGGCTTTGGGGACAGAGGACGGCTGGGCCATGGGGACACTGTATGTATCGCTCATTCCTGCAGGGGACACACTCTCCTTTATGTTGCCATTTCTAAGACAAGCTGGAGCGCAGGAGTGTGTGCAGGTGTTTTCCAGCCGCCCCGACGTGCAGTGCTGGGGTGGAGCGGGACACTAGGATATTCCCCCTCCTTGGTGATGGCTTAGGAACTCTCTGCCCCATGTGTGGAAGGCAACAGGAATCGGCCTTTGCTCTTCTCCACCCCAGCGCAGCCTTGACGCCTTCTCTCTACTCAAACCGCATCCCCACTGTGGAGTTTGCCAGAACAAATCCCACAGCACTGTTCCTCCATTCACAAACAGTTCCCTGTCTCCCGCCAAATAAGGTTGTCTCCCTTTCACTTCGAACCGTTAGATGATTTTACAGGAACAAAAGTCAGCAGTTTTCTTCATAATATTATCCCTATTCGGTGGAACCTTTCATTTGTGAAAGAACAGAAATAAAGTTGTTATGAATGCCAAATTGTAAAATTGGGAGGTCTGCCAGCCCCGTGGTGAAATTAGGGCCGTCTTGTACTTTGCTGTTGTGCGTGGAGCTCTGGCATTAGGTTTAAATGAAGGATGTATGTACACACCAACCCAGCTCCCCATCTCAGTCCTGTCTCTTCAAGGGAAAGCCCATGACCCGGTTGTGCACCAAACCCCACATTTTGAGTCAGGGGCTCCCGCCCCGCACTGTGAGCACTCTGGATAAGCCAGTGCCGAGGGGGAAAGAGCTCTGAATGTCAAACCATGAGTTTCAACTCCACCTCCAGCTCTGAGAGCTGTGGGCAAGGAAAGGGCCCTAGTCCAGTGTGCTGTGAAAGACCAGTCTGCCACTGTATGGCACATGGATGGGGGGGCAGAGTGCGGGTGGGAGAACAGAGGTGGACAGGGCAGGGGAGAGGCAGGGACACATGGCTGTAGCTGTGGAGATGGGAGGACAGACAGGACTTGGTGGCCACTTGAATGAACCAAGGGAGGAGTCTGGAAGAGACACCCAGTTTTTGTATCCAGATGTGTGGAGGCGTGGGATGCTGTTCATTGATCGGGGAGGAGGAGAGAGGGAGTGGCATGGGAGGAGGTAACTGAGCTCTGTCATGAATGTTATTGGAGGTTCCGAGGAAAGCCAGGCCCCCAGTGCCTTCCCACTGCTTCAGCCGGCCCTCGGGGTGACTGTGCTCCTGGTCCTCTCGGCTCCCACTTTGCTTGGCTGTCAGCTGCAGTGGGGACAACTTCTCAAAGGGTCCAGCATGTCTGTGTGTTTACCCAGGGACTGCCGAGATGGCCCATGCTGAGCAGAAGCTGATGGATGGCAGCTCTAGACAAAACCCGTTACAACAACCTGATCCGCCCAACCACCAGCTCCTCGCTCATCTCCATCGAGACGGAGCTCTCCCACAGCCCAGTGCATCAGTTGGTAGGTGCAGAGGACACCTGTGGCTCAGGCTCACGTGAAGAGGCAGCTCATGCCCAAGCCCCAGGCAATCAGTGTCCAGAGGAATGAAATGACTAGAGTTGACTTAGACTCACCAATGCATGGCGGGGAGGCTGGAGGAGGGTCCATGAGGTTTATAGGTGTCAATATTTAATGCGGTCATGGTTTTGTTAAAGAAGAAAACGAGGGTGGGGAGCAGGATCACCACTGGCCAGGCAGCCAATGGGCCTGCATAGACTCTGCTCCGCTGAGTCTCCAGCACGACCATGGCTTCTCCTCCTCATCCTCCCAGCCCCGCCTACTCTCTCCCAACCTCAGCAGGTGACCTTACAGGCTCCTACTTGTTGGGGAGTAATAGAAGAACCAGACTGGGGGAACTGATGGGTACAGAGGCCCAGGTGTAGGGGCAGGACCCCAGGCAGTGCAGCCTCTACTGAGCCAGGAGGGGTGAGGGGGTCTGGAGTGGGCATGGCTGCTGCGAGCATGGAAAGGAGCGCAGGTGGCGGCACTCCCAGGGACCACCGTCAGGGTCTCCATATGTGGATGTGTGCGGAGGTGGGTGCTGAGGGAGGAGGTGCAGGAAATTTCTCATCTTCTCTCCACTGCCTCTGAGTTGGAGATGTCAGAGGGACCCATGGCCCCTCTGTGTAAACTAACACAGTGTCCCCACCCACAGGGTTAGAACCCGTCCTGGAGACGGCTCTGAGGGAAGCAGTCACATGTGGAGAGTGCAGGCGCTGTGTCCAGCCAAGGAAGGAGGTCACCAAGGGGGTTGACCCTCCTCTGGCCAGGTGGCTGCCTTCTGACACAGCAGCCTCTCTCTCTAGCACGGTGGCCCCCACACACCCAGCCTGTCAAACCTACAGCCCTCAAGGAAGGCTTTGGCCAGATTAATGAACAGCTCCCTCTCCCGGGGAGAGCACAGCTTTGAAGGATGAGGAGGGCAGTAGAGTTGTGTATCTCCACCCCCACCCCTCCACAGTTGGACCTGAAAGAGGACTTTCAGCCAGGCTCTCCCAGGCTGGGGGGTCACGGGTGTCACTCTCCAGCTATTGGCCTCTTGCTTAACGGGTGAGCCCAGCTGCTCCTGTACAGCTGCCACCCTAGTGAGGGTGAACCAGCAGGCGAGTGACATTTCTGATAGTTTGGGGATGCAGGAAAGACTAGGCTGTGGGCTGCGCCAGGAAGGGGTGTTTATTTTCAGGGTTTATCTACTGACTTGAGGAGGGTTATGGGTACAGCCAGTTTAAAGATGGAAATTTTGAGAGAGCAGACAGGGACTTAGTGCTGGGTAAGGCAAGCAGGCTTGTCAAAGCAGCTCTTTTGGGGAGACCAGAATCCTGTACCAATGTAGTCAGCAGGTTCATCAGCTGCTGGGGAGTGCCGGACAGGGTTAAAAGCCTGATAGAACTTTCTGGATGATAGGAATGTTCTATATCTTCAAAGGAGGTGGGATACATGGGTAATGCATTTGTTGAAATTCATCAAAATATACCAGATCTGTGCATTTCACTGAAGATAAATTAACCTCAAATTAAAAACATTTTTAAAGAGAGATGGGCAGACGCAGTGAGCTCACGCCTGTAATCCCAGCACTTTGGGAGGCCAAGGCGGGTAAGATCACCAGGTCAGGGCGTGAAGAGAGAGAGAGAGAGAGAAGACCAGCGGAAAACATGGTTCAATCCTGTCTCTATTAAAAAATAAAAAATTAGCCAGGCATGGGGATATAGGCCTGTAGTCCCAGCTACTCGGGAGACTGAGGCAGGAGAATTGCTTGAACCCAGCAGGCGGAGATTTACAGTGAGCAGAGATCACACCACTGTACTGGAGCCTGGAAAACAGAGCGAACTCCATCTCAAAAGAAGAAAAAAAAAAAAAAAAAAAAAAAAAAAAGAAGATGAAGGTTTTTCAACTTTCACTAAAAAGGCAGAGTAGCTTGTTTATTTGGTAGTCTCGCTCTGCACCTTCGCCCAGGCTGGAGTGCAGTGGCCGGATCTCAGCTCACTGCAGCTCCGCCTCCCGGGTTCACACCATTCTCCTGCCTCAGCCTCCCGAGTAGCTGGGACTACAGGCGCCGCCACTGCGCCCGGCTAGTTTTTTGTATTTTTAGTAGAAACGGGGAGTTTCACCGGAGTTAGCCAGGATGGTCTCGATCTCCTGACCTTGTGATCCACCCGTTTCGGCCTCCCAAGGCGTGCTGGGATCAAACAGGCTTTCACAGCGCCCGGCCTCAGAAGTAACTTGTTATAGATTAGCCTCTCCACAAAAGCAGTTAGAGAAACTGGACAAAAATGTGCCCCCACCACCAAAACAACTGTTTGAAGGTAATTGGAGACCTCAGTCAAGGACTTGAGGTGACCAGGCCTAGGAGGTGACCCTGACAGTCTGTAGTGCTTTTCCCACATTTGGTGATTGGTGAACAGTAGAGGACTAAGAGGTTAAGAAACTGAGTCTGAAGTGGTGGTTAAGAGGCTGGAGAGCCTAGCTGAATGTTTGGCATTCACAGGGCTGAAATGACCTAATGAGAATTTGGGTCCCAGTAAGGAGATGGGACCTTGGTGGGAACCCTGGAAGAGTCACCCCTAGGAGTCCAAATGAATAAAAAAATAGACCTTCGTCACAAAAAACTAAAGCCTGCTTTGAAACAGCAATCTGACTAGATGAAGGTGATCTGCCCTTACTCCAATTGTGTGCCATAAAGTCAAAGTCAATACTCTCTGGAGGCAGATAAAAGTTTACTAGGGCCGCCATAAGAAAGACAAGACTAAATGAGGAAAGAACAAGAAAAAAAAACAATAGAAAACATACAAGAAAAAAAAACCAATAGAAACATACAAGAAAACAACCAATAGAAACATACATGTAAGGAAGATAAGGAAGAAACTTTTTTTGTTATTTTTTTTTTTCTTTTTTTTTTTGGAGGAGAGTCACAAGCTCTGTCACCCAGGCTTGAGTGCAGTGGCACGATCTCAGCTCACTGCAACCTCTGCCTCCCAGATTTAAGCGATTCTCCTGCCTCAGCCTCCCAAATAGCTGGGATTACAGGCATGCCACCATGCCCGTGAATTTTTGTATTGGCCAGGCTGGTCTGGAGGCGCCTGACGTCAGGTGGTCCATTCACCTCAGTCTCCCAAATTGGTGGGATTACAGGCATGAACCACTGTACTTTGACCAATATTTGCACGATTTAATAAATAAATTTTCTTTTTTTTTTTTTTTTTTTTCAGGTTTGTCACTCAGACTATATTCTAAACAGTCACATGAGCAGCTGACTCTTCTCCAGGCCTTGCTGCTGGCTTTTACATGTTTATTGTTTTTGCCTTCTTGTATGCTTGGTAGATGGCAGCTTCCAGGTGCTTCCTAAGGAGCCAAGAAAGAGAGTGAGAGAGGCACGGGAGGCTGCCAGGTCGTCCCCAGCAGGGCCCCACCCTCATTAACTCCCTCAGCAGCTGGGTCTCCTGCAACTGTTGGGGGTCACCACCGGCCACCGCTGCCCTGAGCTTCCTGCTGCTGCAGCCTGGGCCAGAGCCTCCTTCTCAGAGGCCAGCTGCTGATAGGGCGGCCACGTACTGCTGCAGGGGACCCGGGAGCCGTGCAGCTGCTGCTGCAGACTCTGAGGCTATTGGCTCTTCAGCTCCACCTGCAGGATAGGCATCAGGGTAGGCAGTGGCTGGCTTCCAGATTCTGGGCCCATAAACAGGGTGGCGATGGCACAGTGGGGGGCTCTGTTATCTGCCAAGGCCCCTGGCCCCTGGCCCCTTCCTCCAGGCCTAAGTGACTGCCTCCCTTGCCTAGAGGCCCATGCCTCCCTCCCCAGCCTCAAATCTCACACCCTTCTTCCCACCATTGAAGCTGTAAAGGCCACAGACTGAGGTGGAAAAGCAGAGAAGAGAGCCAACCACCATCTGCTAAGTTGTGACAAGTCAGTTCTGTGATCTCCAGGGTTTGCACCCACCTCCGCCTGCTCCCCAAAGCTCGGCGTTCACCAGCTCCCCCAACCTCTCTCCTCCAGCTCCTGCAACCTCCACCTCCTGCTTCACCATCTTCTCCTCCAGCTGCCACAGCCTCATTTCCTGCTCCCGCATCTTCTCCTCCTGCCTCCACATCTTCTCCTCCTCCTCCCGCATCTTCTCCTCCTGCCTCCACATCTTCTCCTCCTGCTCACGTATCTTTTGCTCCTTCTCCCATATCATCTCCTCCTGCTTCCCACATCTTCTCCTCCTGCTCCCCATCTTCTTCTCCTGCTCCGCATCATACATACCTCCTGCCTCCCACATCTTCTCCTCCTGCCTCCCTAAGCTTCTTCTACTTGCCTCCCATCTTTTCCTCCTGCTCCCCCATCTTCTTCTCCTGCTCCCAGCACTCTTCCTGCTCCACCTTTTGTCTCTCTTCTCCCGGCTTACTCCTCCTGCTCACACATCTTCTTCCTGCTCCCACAGCATATCCTCCTTCTCCCCCAACCTCCTCCTGCTCACACAGCATATCCTCCTTCTCCCAAGCCTCTCCTCCTGCTCACACATCTTCTCCTCCTGCTTCCGCATCATCTCATCCTGCTCAGTATTATCTCCTTCTGCTCCCGTATCTTCTCCTCCTGCCTCCACATCTTCTCTTCTTGCTCCTGCCTCTTCTTCTCCAGCTCCCGTATCTTTCCTCCTGTTGTGTGTCTTCTCCTCCTGCTCCCTTATCTTCTCCTTCTGCTCATGCATCTTCTCCGCCTGCTCCATTCTATCTTCTCCCTCCTGATTGTGCATCTTCTCCTCCTGCTCCATGCAATATCTTCTCCTCCTGATTGTGCATCTTCTCCTCCTGCTCATTATCTTCTCCTCCTGATTGTGCATCTTCTCCTCCTGCTTCCGTATCTTCTCCTCCTGATTGTGCATCTTCTCCTCCTGCTCCGTATCTTCTTCCTGCCTCCACATCTTCTCCTCCTGCTCTTGCCTCTTCTTCTTCTGCTCTGGTATCTTCTCCTCCTGCTTGTGCATCTTCTTCTCCTGCTCCCTTATCTTCTCTCTGATCATGCATCTTGTCCTCCTGCCTCCCACATCTTCTCCTCCTGCTCCCACCTCTTCTCTTCTTGCTCCATTATCTTCTCCTCCTGCTCCTTTATCTTTTCCTCCTGCTTCCACATCTCCTTCTCCTGCTCCTGCCTCTTCTCCTCCTGCTCCCGTATCTTCTCCTCCTGCTCGTGTATCTTCTCTTGCTGCCTCCACATCTTCTCTTCCTGTTGCTGGTACAGGCGGTTCCACAACTTGTTCTCTTCCACCTGGGCTTGGAGCTTCGCTGACACACTCTGAAGCTCCTTACCCAGGTGGTCAGCCTCCTCCTGCAGCTGCTGCTGGAATAGTGAAAGTGTTGGTTTGAACCTCAGAAGGAAACAGACTCATGGGATAGTCATCTAAATGTAATCTATCAAACAATGGTTTTCACCCATGATCCTTTAAAATATATATATTTTAAGCCTAACTCAGAAGGAAACAGACTCATGGGATAGTCATCTAAATGTAATCTATCAAACAATGGTTTTCACCCATGATCCTTTAAAATATATATTTTTAAGCCCTAACTCTGAGATTCCGATTCCCCAGGCAGGGCCCCACTTTTGTAGATTTTTAGTACACTCTAGAGGATTCTATGGCAGGACCAGAACAAGGACCCAAATCTTCTAGCTCGTGACTGGAGCCTCCCCATACCCTGCATGATCCCTAGACCGTGGTCCCAGCCGGACGGGGATCCCACAACCCCCGGGGCTGGCCTCCTCTTCGGCCTCACCGCTTTTTTCCCAGGCCTGCCTCAACTTCCCTCTGAAAGCCTGGCCGCCTCTCCATGTGTGAAGGGGGCTTTCTTGCCACTTTAGGGTGTCCCAGGGCGAGAGATACGCACCACGGATAGGAGCCAGGGACTCCACGAACCCCCCAGGTCCAGCCGGGGGGCGGGTTTGCGGGGAAGGCCCAGACCTCCGGCGGTGCACCCCTGCCTTTTGTTCAGCCTCGCTGCTTTTCTCCGAGGCCTGCCTCAACCTCCCCCTGAAATCCTGGCCGCCTGTCCCTGTCCCCCTGGGCTTCTTGCCACTTTGGGTGCCCCCAGGGGGTAGAGACACGCACCTCGGGTGGGAGCCAGGGACTCCACGACCCCCCAGGGTTCAGCGTCGGGGCTGCCGGGAAGGCCCTGACCCCAGGCGACGCACCACGGCCTCCTCTCTGACCTGCCAGCTTTTATCCCAAGCCTGCCTCAACCTCCCCGGAAACCCTGGCCGCCTGTCCCCGTCCCACGGGTGCCCCCAGGGGCAGAAACACGCTCCCCGGGTGGGCGCCACGGACTCCACCACCCCACCTGGTCGGGCGCGGGGGCTGCCGGGAAGGCCCTGACCTCCAGGGGTCACCCCAGCCTTTTCTTCTGCCTCGCAGCTTTTTTTCCCAGGCGTGCCTCAACCTCCCCCTGTAAGCCTGGCTGCCTCTCTACGTTTCAAGGCGGGAGTTTCTTGCCGCTCTGGGGTGCCCCCAGTGGGAGAGAAATGCATCCCGGATGTTAGCCAAGGACTCTACAATCCACCCGGTCTAGCCAGGGGGCTGCCGGGACGGCCCTGACCTCCGGTGGGGCACCCCGGCCTTTTGTTCGGCCTCCTGACTTTTTTCCCAGGCCTGCCTCAACCTCCCGCTGAAATGGCTCCTGTCCTCATCCCCTAGGGGGGCTTCTTGCCACTTTTGGTTGCCCCGGGCGGGGGGAGAGACATGAACCCCAGGGACTCCACGACCCCACCATTGATTTTGTGTATACCATAAAATAAGGGTCTAATTTCATTATTTTGCATGTGGATAGAGCTAATTTTCAACACCATTTTTTGAAGAAACTATGTTCTCCTAAATTGTGTAAAACTACCATATGATTCAGAAATTCCACTTCTGAGGATTTAGTCAACAGGATTTATTCAAAAGAATTTAAATTAGGATCTTGAAGAGACATTACCAGCATTGTTCATAATAGCTATGATGTGGAAACAAGTAAATCCCCATCAACAGATGAATAGATGAAGAAAAGATGGTATATACATGCAATGGGATACTATTCAGCCTTTAAAAAGAAGAAAATTCTGCAATATGTGACAACATGGGTGAACCTAGAGGACATTATGCTAAAATAAGCCAGTCATAGAAAGTCAGGTGCTGTGTGATTCCACTTACATGAGATATCTAAATAGTCAAAAGGATAGAGTGAAAGAGTGGAATGATGATTGCCAGGTGCCGGGAACTGGAAAGGTTCTAACCAATGAGTATAGACTTTCAGTCAGGCAGGATGAATTAGCTCTACAGATCTGCTGTACAACATTGCCCCTGTGGTCAACAATAATGTGTTGTACACTTAAACTGTTGTTAAGGGGCTAGATCGTATTAACTGTTCTTGCAAAAATAAAAATCTTACAAATACATGCAATATTCATAAGAATATTAGTTATAGTTATAATTCTACTTCTGTCAATAGCCTCACATTAGGCTTTGTCCATATCCATTTATCTATTTGGGTTTTATTATAGTATAGTTTGTATAAATCCATATAAACATACCCAAAACAAGAAAGTTCATCTATGCCAATCCATTTAGAAATTTCATATTTTCACTTCCTCTTTTTAAGCTTCACCATTCCAATAATACTGTTTTAGATTTAAGTCAGACTGTCCATGATTTATTTTTAAGCACAGGGACTTTTGCTATAATAAGGACATTGATTTAGTTCAGAAATTTTTTGTCTGTTTTTTGTTTTTGGTTATTATTATTATTATTATTACTATTTTTGAAACAGTGTCTCAGTCTGTCGCCCAGGCTGTAGTGCAGCGGTGCCATCTTGGCTCACTGCAACCTCTGCCTCCCAGATTCAAGTGATTCTCCAGCCTCAGCCTCCTGAGTAGCTGGATTTACAGGCACATGCCAGCACGCCCAGCCAATTTTTGTATTTTTCAGTAAAGACGGGATTTCCCCATGTTGGCCAGGCTGGTCTCAAACTCCTGACCGCAGGTTATTCACCCGCCTCAGCCTCCTAAAGTGCTAGGATTGCAGGTGTGAGCCACTGTGCTTGGCCCAGAAATCTTTTGCTTGTGTAGCACTTGTCAGGGAGATTCTGTGAAGCCTGTCTTAGTCCATAGGATTAAACTATTAAAAGTAAAAATAACATATGGATAGACTGAGTGTAGTTTGAAAGGGTGATGCCTAAACAGGTGCTGGCTTCCTTTGCTTGTAAGTACCTCAAAGACGTAGACTGTCTTATTCACCTCTGCGTGCCCATGGAATTACATTGAGTCAGGTACATGGTGGGTCTTAGTAATTGTGTGTTTATAAATAAAAGCATATATTAAAATTAACATTTGAAAACTTTTATTTATTTATTTATTTTGAGACAGAGTCTCACTCTGTCACCCAGGCTGGAGTGCAGTGGTGCGATCTTGGCTCACTGCAAGCTCCGCCTCCCGGGTTCACGCCATTCTCCTGCCTCAGCCTCCCAAGTAGCTGGGACTACAGGCACCTGCCACCACGCCTGGCTAACTTTTTGTATTTTTAGTAGAGATGGGGTTTCATCGTGTTAGCCAGGATGGTCTCAATCTCCTGACCTTGTGATCTACCCGCCTCGGTCTCCCCAAGTGCTGGGATACAGGCATGAGCCACCTAACCCAGCCCTGAATATATTTTTTAATCAAAAATTAAATAATAAAATATTAAGACCTGTAGTTATTTTTAAAAAGAGTGCTTAGTTTATATCTTTTTATATCTACCACTTTTAAAAATAAAACTAGACTTTTCAAAATCAGCCCCAAGTATGAAACAATGACTTTAAAAGGCAATGAATCTGTGGGTGTGAGATAATAATTTAATTGTTATCGTTCCTTTATAGAATGTTGTAAAATAACATCCTTGATATAAATAAGGGCAAATGAGGTCTTAAAATTAAGTGTATGATAATAGTAAGTACTCAAATATTTGTTCATTATTAAACAAATTAAGAAAGAGGAATGCTGTGTTTATTTCAGTTAATTTTTAATTTGGTGCTTCTTTATACAGAGTATAACACTGTATTTTCATAAGATACTGTTCTGTGTGTTTAGTATTACGATGAATAAAATGTTCGACTTGTGTTTCATTTACTTTAAACTCTCTCAGTGCCTGTTACAACACCTGACAGTGTCTCAGAAATGTTTCAGAATAAGCAAAGTGATGAGAGTGTTAAAATTTCCAAGAAAGTTTCATGTGTCTGCATATTACATGAATATATTTCTTTCTCAGTTTCGTCTATTTATTTGAGACTTCTTGTTAGGATCTGGGTCAATTTTTTTTATGTTGTCTCAAATGAAATTACATCATGAATGATTGGAAGAAGTCATTAAACAGAAGTTAAGCAAAAGGATCCTAAAAATAATTTTTCCAGTACAATTTTTATTTGTTCATTCTACATGTAACTTTCCTCATGTGTCAAGAAAAATTAATGCTATATATATAAAATTGCTTAAAAAATAATGGTCACATTTTTGTTCAATAGGCGTATTCAGGAATATCATGGTTCATTAAATGAACTTGAACATTTTATACTAGAAATGAATAAAACTGTTATTTGCTGTTATTCTCAGCAAATGAAAAGCACTTACATTTTATTATGATTTTGCAGTTATTCAGCCAAGATTGAGATTCCATACTTGGTGTGTCTATGATATTTTGATTGAAACTTAGATCTGTTTTTCCTTAAAAATGATCCTTTGCTGGGAACACACACACACACTCTCTTATAAATGTATTTTAATCAAGTGTATTTATCAATAAAAATCTATTTTTGTATTGATCTATTTAGTATCCTCAAAACATTTTAGTCAGTCTTAGAAAACAGCCCTCATTTTACATGAAGCCTTTCAAAATTATCCCCAAGACTTGTTTATATAGTATTTACTCAATAAGTAGAATCAAGTCATTTATTGACAATAAATTCATTTTAAAATTGTTTTAAAACAATTGTGAATTGTTTTAAAACTTAAGTTGATTTAATTCCCATAGACATCCTATGAGGTGACATTATTGTACCCATTTCACAAATGAAAAGCAGGGTTTAAGAAAGTGAAATGATTTCCACAGGATTATATATGTCTTAAAAGGTAGGGCCAGAATTTAAGGCTATATTCTGATTCTGAGTCCCAGACCCGTAAGCGTCAATTATGTTGGCTAATAAATTAATGAATCAACATTTAATTTCAGAAAGAGGGCCATGCTTTCTTCTTTGATTTGGTTGCACAGTCTTGTGAATCCATCAATTTTCACTGGTATTAGCCCCTAGACCTCTTGTAGGAAACTTTCTTTTTGTTTTATGTATTTTCAGTGTTTAAACACCTATATTGGCATGGCTCTTCTATTTGGATCCAGAAACAAACATTAATGATTTCTAGTTCTCTATCCTGTGATAATTTACTGCCAATGGAAATACAGTTATTCATGGTACTGTTGTGGTCATTCTCCAGACCTCTCTCCCTTCACATCTTAACACACTGGTGCTTCCCCCACTTCCCCCTATTTCTTTCCTTTAAAAAGGCTTTTTAATATATCAGCATGAGCTATAATAAACTTTCCTAACAAGTAGAACTGTTTCTATTCTTATCTCACATTGTTTAAAATTTCAGCAGCATGCAATACTGTCATGACTCTCTCTTTTTAGAGTGGTATATTAAGATTCTT